AAAACAAACAAACAACAGAAAATAAATCAACCCCCCCAATATAATAAAAAAGCATTCAAAAATAAAATCTGTTTCATAATATAATTTGGCCTGCCTTAGTGCAAGTAAGACTGGAATAAAATTACATTTCTGAGTATGCACTCAAAAATGAAGAGCTCTGAATTCTTTTCAAATGTCAGTTCTTTCCAGAGGTCTTCCTTTGGTTTGGGCATAACATTACAAACATGTTTCTTATTTATCAGCTGCAAGAGAGAAGCTGTACTAGTATCTTCTTTTCTTCCAGAAAAGCAGTGCTTTAGGTAGGATTGCAATGACAGCTCAGATGAGAAGCTTGCTCCTGAGATGCAGCAGGAAGACTGAATGACTTTGTGCCATATGGGTAGGATGAAAATATCCATGTTTTACAAGATGGCAGAAAATTGCCTTGAAGGAGTCTTCTTGAGAGAGCAACAACTAACTGACAGATGATATTAGAAGGACCCAGTATGAGGAACAGAATTGTGAGAAAGACTTTTTTTAAGTGGCATTTTAAAAATAGTGGTTAGGAACGCCCAAACTAGATACCTACAGAGTCCTATCAGTTTTATGGTGTTGCCAATTACAGCTGCCTGCTGAGAGCGCACAGAGAGACCAAGAAGGTTCTATATTTTATAAAAGGCTATTTTTCCAAGAGCTACTGACTCAGAGGGAATCGTTCATTAGTCACGAACACCTCTGGAGAAAGTTCACAGAAAACAGTACAGTGAAGGAAACCAGTAGTAAATACACACAAAACTCAGCACAAATGAATTTGAGATACTGCTTTCTACTTTATGGACTTATTGTGTCTCTGCTTTTTACACTGTCCTGAAAAAATATCTAAAGAAATTCAAATCCACAAATCCTTTATCACAACGCTTCTCTCTATCCTCTCACATTCTTCCAGCCACCATCCCAAGAAAGATGTGATGAAGAAAATAAATACATTTAGAAACCCAAAGACAGGCACTTGAGCCTTTTTCTGTTTTCTCCTTTCCACACCCTGTAACCCTTTCTTTGCTATTCTCATTTATTCTTGGAGTTTCCCAAGCCCCAAGCTCTTATTTAACTAGTTGCGTTTTTTTTCCTCCTAGACAACTACCTCTTATTAATAATGCTCTTTCAAAATGGCCAGGCAAATTCAAATCTCCTGCACAGTTTTACCATCCAGTCACCTCTCACATAATCCAGTAGTTTGATTTCAAAAGGAAGTGTAAGCTATCAGAGTTCTTCATACTTTCTCCTTCCAATGGAGTGTATGCATATAGGAAAAAAGTTTCCTCTTCCATAACACTATTCTTAGGTTTTCCTAGAAAGGAAGTGAAGTACATTGTAAGTGGTTTTAATATTGATTTTGTTCCAGAAGAAAACTAAAAGAAAAACCTAGACACTTGAAAGTTACAGTATTGAGTGCTACAGAAAAGTCCTGAACAATACAGGTGCTTGGGGATTTCTCACTCTTAAATCCGTATCTCCAGTATGGACAGTCTGTTGTCAAAAGCATGTTTTCTGACAGATACCAGTCTACACTGAAAAATCCACATGTGACACAATAAAAGCAATCCTTATCACATATACCATCCCAAAGTGTTACACTCTTTCTTGATGTAACTTCAGCGATGCTACAAAGAGGTTATATAAAGGTTTACATATAAACAGTTGCCAAGTGTGGAAGTATGAGATTTTTTTTTCCAAAAGTGGCCAGAGCCATCCTAATGTGTTTTAAGATACAAGTTTGACTCTCCTTCAGAAGCAGCAGATAAATCTTTGATGAATGTTTGACAGTTGAAGCAGAACATAGAGGAATGCAGCTCCTTCCATCTGAATCCTAAAAGGAACAAGCAGCTTTTGAAAAAGCTCTGAAAGAGAGTGTATAGACAAACCAATTCAGGGGTTTCAGGCTGTGAATTCTAAGGCTCTAGCTCCTGCAAGCTCAGATTGAGGTACTGAAGTCCCCAGAGTGGGGCCAGTTTTCAAAAACAATAAGAAGGCTGAACAATATCCCATTACTCTTGCATCAGTTCAGCATTTTAGGCAGTCACCTCTACAAAGCTTTGCACAAAACCCAGATCACTAACATTGCAAAGAACAGCAAAGGAAAGGAAATCCAAGATAAGAAGGATAATTTTGTCAATTACAGTTCCTTTAGTAATTGGTACAGTGTAGTAACATCAACCAAAATAAATACAATTATTTGTACATAATACAAAAATATAACCCTTCATAAATTTTATACTGTGCTAGGAATTATGCATTGAGCTTAAGCAGTGATATGTAACATTTTCTCTTAAATAATATGGACAGGTATACTTAGCCAAATGAATGTAATAACATTTTCTCGAATTTGAAGACAAACACATAAAGAGCAGTTTATTAGTTCAGTGTATCCATATATGACATCTTAGCTAGGATTTGAGAGCAACCCAAGTCTTTCAAGTTTTCCCTTCGCCACTGTTCTCTATCCATAGCACAGTAGTTCTATAACCAAACAGTGAATTCAATTTTTGATAGTAGCATTTATTAGCAGATACAGAAGAGTATTATTCAGACAACTAGCTTAAGGCATCATGGTTTCCACAACTGACACATGACATTACTGGAAAAAAGAATTTTAAAGGCAGCTATGAGTGTTTACCTATAGTACTACAATGAACAACAATCTATTCTTGACAACACACTTCGTTGACTAGTGTGGCTTTTGTTCTCTAAAAAGAGTAGTAAAATATATGATTTTCACATTAATACAATCTGAAGAATGCATAAACTCTTTGCACAAAAAAAAATAATTCTCCCTTCATCCCTCCATTTTAAAATGTAAAAAATTCCAACCATCACCCTTGTAAGACAATTCTTTTACAGACTTTTTGGAAATACAGTTTCCAACAAAGTATATAGCAGAAGTCCACTAAATCATCTCTATTATCCTTTAAAAGAAAGTATATCTAACTGCTGATAACTGTTGTCCCATGTCCCTCTCCCCCAATTCTGTACTGAATCTATCAACTCTGCAATCACCAGCACTGGTGGACAATTTATTTGAATGAAATCAAGTTTCTCCTGGAGTCCTAAAGAATAAACACAAGTCCTTGACTTCCTTAAGACCTCTTGATCTCTTCCCTAGCAATAGCCCATGACACTGGCTAAAATTTAAAACAATATGAAGTGAAACTATCATCCTGACAGCACCTGCCACAAAGACCCAAACAGCTACCTTGTCAAAACTCTCTTAAACCTCAAGAGTAAAAAGTAGGATTCAAATAGAATCATAGAATCAACTGGGTTGGAAAAGACCTCCTTTGAGATATCAGATCCAACCCTTGATCCAGCACTGCTGTGGTTACTAGACCATGGCACTAAGTGCCACATCCAGTTTCATTTTAAAAATCTCCAGGGACAGTGAATCCACCACCTCCCTGGGCAGCCCATTCCAATGTCTGATTACCCTCTCTGTAAAAAATTTCTTCCTAATTTTGAACTTAAATTTTCCCTGGCAGAGCTTAAGATCATACTAGGATAGGACCGTAATAGGATAGAATAGGATAGGACAAGGAATAAATTAATTAAATTTCACTACAGAAATTGTGCATTCCATACTGCACACGGTAGTTCAAAAAACCACAGCCGAGACACATTCACAGAATCATTTAGAATTTCAGAATATGTTTCAGACACATCACAGGCAGATGTCAAAGACTATCGTCATGACAAAGTCACTGCAGCTTACTCGCTTCCATTCCATTTATCAGAGAAAAACAAGAGTAGATTTGGCATCACACATTACATACTTGGAGAAATATTTTCCAAATTACTATCAATTCTGATAGTACTCCCTCCACTTACCTATCACAGAATCACAGAATAGTCAGGGTTGGAAGGAAGCTTCCGAGATCTAGTCAAATCCCCATTTGTATTCCTGCATTTCAGAGTAGGACTGTCTGCAACTACTTGTAATAAATAACGAATATCCACTACAGTGTTGACATATTATGCAATGAATCCCCAATGGCTTTCATTTGCGTACTTGCCTACTTGGTCAGCCAAAACTTTGGCTCTTACCTGCACTTAGTGCAGAGCATTGATGAGATTTTTCTGTGCCTTACAATAATGCCAGCCTTGAAGTCAGACATTTTATTGACAGTGCAGAGAAAGACCTCAAGATTTTCCCCATTTTCTCATGACAAATACCAGCAGCATATAAAATGCAAATTTGCCTCTCACTACCTATTTTCCCTTCAGGCTCAATGAGCAGAAATCTTGTTACATTGTTTCTGCATCTTTTGCCCTTGAACTTTTACAGTTTATCGACTTTCACATTCATTTCCTGAAATTAAGTGAAACCCCCCCCCACAGGTCATGTGCTGTCATATGTACAAGCAACTATGAAAAAGTATAGCTCAGATTCCAGTAACATAATGAGCAATAGTGATTTCCTCCATTTCAAATAAACTTAAAATAAATAATTTCAATTAAAGCAAGAGCTTAAACCATGACAGCAATGTAGTATATAAAAAATAAGACCTATAGAGAATTAATCTTGCTATTGTTACCTGATCATATCTAACCACAGGAAATTTCTGACTCAATCAACAGCAAAATTTCCTAAGCTAAAATCCAGATCTAAGAATGACATAAAACAGAAGAGAAGCTGGAATAACATTCTCTATGTTAAAACCAGACATTCTTCATTAACTGAGCTATCCATACCCTAGGTTTACAATTAACTTTGGTCATGTTCTGAATATACTCAAATTTCTGAACAACTGGCAACTTTAGGATACAGAATTTATCTGTAAGGACCTAGTACAGCCTTCTAGTCCTTTTGCATGACTGGGTTAATGTTGAATTAACCAAAGAAAACTGAAATCATCTTGTATGATTGGTTCCAATCTCAGTTACCTAACAGATATATGACAAAAAAGCACCTATGAAAGCAGTGCAAATGTAAAGGCTCCATGACAGGGAAAGAAAATAAGAAAAAGAAGTTCAAACAAACAAACAAATAAAAAACTGTATTGGTTTTCTCAGTGGTTGTTTACTAGTTTGCCTTCTGGCAGATGAAAGAAGTTATCTTCTTTGAGTTTAAGATGTTCTGATGAATCTAGCTGCCTTTTTGCTTCTTCAATGTCTTCCTGAATTGCTGAAATGAGTGCCTCTGAAAAAGATAAGAATATGGGTATTTAAAAGTTGGTCTGAATTTTGAACACAGTATCAAGTGAAAACATGGGGTACCACAAAATATCAAAAAACAATCACAGAAGTAGAATATAATTATGAGGTCTAAAGGCAGAGTTCTTTGGGTTTTCAAACATGACAGAGTTGCATTTTTACTTGTTACAAGCACTACTCTCTTGCTTTTCCAAAAGACTTTAGCAGTTCTGTTTTAATACTAATAGTATTGAAATACGATCAGTATTGAAATACTACTGTATTTAAAAGAGAAATTAACACATTCAACTGATGCTTCTACAACAAGTCCTTGATTTTAAATTACTCCACTGACAAGTGACTGAAAAACAGTTTTCTAGTGGAAGATGTGGGGGTATGGTTTTGGGTTTTTAGATAATGAAAACGTTTTACTGAAATTTCAAAGGTTAATAGATAAAACATCTCATAATAGAAGGAAAGACAGGGAAGACATAGAACTTGCATGAGTAAGACATAAAAGAGATTAGTTTGAGGGAGACCTCCAATACTGACCTAAGGAATCAAAGTTTTTTTCCGGTCGAATATATCCAACTATGACTATACTAAGAATTTCTCCATAAAAGTCTTCCTTGAAGGTGTGGATAATATGTGTTTCCTAAAGGAAGAGAAATAAGTGGGCATTTATTATGAACTTAAGAGTTTCTTTCCCTCTCTGTAAGCATATAGACCTAATATCCATCATTCCAATTTTCCTCAACAGAGAACAATAAAAGGGACATTTAGTTTAGAATGTACAATGGAAGATTAAAACACTAGGGCTTTAGTTTATATCATGAAGAAGAATTACATTTTGCATGAAATTAAAAAAAACTACTCACTTAAAGAGTATTCTGATAGCCAAAAGGGAAAAAACCCCCACACCAGAGAGACGTTACTCAGGAGAAATGCTTCACCACTTCTCAGAGGTAATATTTCCAAGGCAGGAAACCCCAAACAAAGCTTAATGTTTCATCATCAAGTTGATGCATCCAAATAACTATGAAGATTTTGATTGAAGCAGTTGGCTTAATGTGAGCTTTTACAACTAGCTCACATTGGCATTTAATGATAAAATTCAAGAACAAGTGCAGGCTGAGACGCAGTTCCACCTTACACTCAAAAACATTTTATTCACATCTGCCTCTTCAAAATAGGCTGACCCATAGCATATACCAGCAGAGCTATCATATAGGAAGCTTTGAACTACTTGCTCAGGAAACTTATCTGCAAAAATTTTTAAAAGTATACATTTGCCTAAGACAAACACTTAATAGCAGAGATTCACGCCCAAACAAAATTGTTTTCAGTAAATAAAACAGAGCTCTGCAAGACTCAGGGAAAGCACCAGCACCTGATAGCAAGAAAATCACAGCTTGAGATTTTAACTTCTCCATCCTATTATTACACACCTTCAAATATTTATTCTGTATATAAAGCCACACCACCTCATGTTTGGATTCCATAATTTAAGAGAAGTATTAATAAAAAAATCATTAAAAATTAAGATGCTCCAACATCTCTTATCTGAAAAGCAGATACACTGCCGAAAACTATAGATTATTAGTATGTTGCAGCTCATGCTAGGGCTCTCATAAGCGGTAAATTCAATGCATTTATCAACTTATGCTTAACTTGCTATCAGCAATTCGAGCAACCATCATTTCAAGTAGTGTTATACTTTTATTTTAGAAGTAATTAAGAAATGGTGGAATAGAAAGAAGAAAATAAATTTTAATCACCTACATGTCTATACTTGGGGGATAGAGAGAGTATATTCTTTACAGAATATAAATATGATACAGATACCAAATGCATTTCTAAGAGCAAATTCCTAGATCTCACTCATGAATTAAATTCTGCTTATCTTATTAAAATTCAACATCTGGCTCCTGTTACAATAAAAATCCCACACAAAGCAAAATTCTTACCACTGATTTCTTAGTATTCCTATAGAAAGGGTTCCATCCTATGCTCAAAACCATTTTATGTACATCTCCATTTCCAACACAGGCCCATCCATAGTATATACCAGTAGAGATATCAGGTGGAAAGCTTTCAACCACTTGCTCAGAAAAGTTAGCTGCAAAAATTTTAGAAAGCGTAAAATGGGAGTGAACGTGTAAGTCAAGGACATAACAGGATCTTCAAATACTGAAAAGCCAAACTCTGCCTATGTACTACTTATAAATGTAACACTGGCATTCATGAGAATAATGCAACATGCCATTTGGTAAAGTATAAAACAGCTTCATAAAATTCAGCCCCTGTGGTAATACCAGAGGTATTACATCTATCTCACATTGGCCTCTTTAGCCACCAGTGCACTTGTAGCAAATGTGGGTAGAGTCCTTCCCAAATCTTCATTCGCGAAGCCTGGCCATGATGATGACATCTTTTACACATGCTGTATTTTACAGTTCACTTTCTCTTCTTCAATAATAATTAATAAACATGCCATATATCCAGTCAGGATGCATTTCACCCTTAGGATAACTATCATAGCTTTAATATGGTGAAAGATGAATTAAAAAAATTAAGTTTTTTCTGCACTATAAAATAGCATCCTAGAACTATTTACTTGTTAGTAAAATACTTACCTATGAAATAAAATATGCAGGAATAAATACAATTATTATTTAACCACTTGTCAATTTTGTACAAGTTGCCTTTTGGAGACACCTGTGGATTTCTATGATTTTCTTTGAAAACTACAAAATTATAGCAAAATGAAATTCCCCTCTGATTGAATTTAACATTCTCTCAAAATTAATATCCTACTTCTATTTACCAGGTGGGTAAATGTCTTCATGCAAGACATGAAGTTGATTTAAAATAATACATTTACTGTACTTTTATCAAAGCTAAAAAACAATGACCCCCCTTCCCTGTTCCACAGTACCAACACAGCATTTATAAGCAATCAAGGGAAAAACGTGAAATCTTGTCAGAAATTCAGCACCACGAGAGTGGTCTCGTAGAGTTTCACATCTGTTACAATTAGTGCAACATGACTGCTGACTTCAGTGGTTGTTTAAGGCATTCAGACAACTGAGAAAGATAAGGAACAGGCAAATACATTAACTGTAAGCAAAGCCCACCTACTCGGTTTTAACCTCTGCTTTATTCCCCCTGAACTTTTCTCCTTAAAGCGATTCCCAACACCTACTCCCTTTCTTGTTCTGAGATTTATCAGAACGGTGCCATAGCACCGTGCATGTGATCACTTATCTACATGCTGCAGACCATCATGACTAGACAGAGATCGCTCAGAGAAACCTCTTAACAGACCGAGGGGCGGGGAATAACACAAAAGGAGAATGCAAGACTCTAAGCAATGCAAGAGAGAAAAAAAGCCTCAGGAAAAGGCTGACACGGCACAAGGCAGGGCTGTTTTCGGGAAGCCAAGTCACGACAACAGGGCAGCAGTGCAGGGCAGCCGGGCAGCTCCTGGGCTGAGGCGAGCTTAGTCACGGCGCTCCCGCACCCTGACGGGCAGGAGCACGGTGAGGATGCGGGTCTGGCTGCACTCGGGGCCCGAGAGGGACCGGCTGCCGAACCCCCGGCCTGGGCTCTCGCCGGCGGGAGCGCTCCCGGGGCTCCGTGCGGACCCCCCGCCGGGCCCAGCCGAGCCAAGCGGACACCCCGGCCGTGCCCTTCCCGGGAGGTGCCGCCCCCGCCCCGCTCACCGGTGGGGATGCCCAACTCCTTGGAGCCTCTGCCGAAGCCCTTCACGACCTCCCCGCGGCAGAAGTACGGCAGGTGCCTCATGGCGCAGGGCAGAGCCGCCAGCACCGCCAGCCCTGCGCCGCCGCCCCGCTCCGCCGCTACCCCTTCGCACAGGGCGCTCCCAACCACAGGGGAGGATGGGGCGGGGCGCTCCTGCTTTCTATCCATACGGCTCTCCGGCGGGGCCTGCCCGCCCTCCGGAATGGGCCCGTCCGCCCCGCATGCCCAGTGCGCTGTATCCGGCGCCCGGAAGGCGGTGTCGGGCGGAGCGCCAGGGCCGGCGCTGTGGAGGGCGGCGGGCGCGGCCCCGTGTTACGGTAACAGCCGCGGCCTTCGCTCCTGCCCGCGGGACTCTCACGCTCCGCGCCCCGGGGACAGCAGGGCCCGGTCCCTCCTGCGGCTTCGTGCCATGGAAACTGAGCAGTGGCAGCTGTGACTGTGCTGCACCAGCTGCCGCATCCTGACCCTCTCATCTGAAAGGCTGCGCGTCGCACCCAGGGCCCACGCGATAAGGATCGCCGCTCCCTTGGTAACTCTGGGTTTGCCTTTTCGTTTAGAAAAGGCCAAATGCTTCAGTGCACAGCAGACATTTGTGAAAACTCTGAGAGCAGAACTTTTTGTTATGTGGTAGTAACCAACTGTAGTTGCTTGTTTAAGAAAAAAAAGGGTCAAACTGAAACAAAACCAAAACCTCCAAACATTTTTACTCACCTCTGATTTACCGTCATGCTCACATTCCTTTTCTGTCATTATCACCGGTAGTGCAGGGATCTCCTTTGGACAAAAAAGCACCAGGAAGTGCTCTTCCTGTGTTCACTCTATATAACTTAATGAAAAATGAAGGGTAACAGAGCATTTCCCTTCAATTCCTGTCTCCAGTTGTTCTTTATCTTTTTATGTTGATAAAGCTCTTTAATGTATTTAGGTGATTAAAACTCTTTTCTATGGCCCTCATCTGGCTCAAATAAATTTGAGTTTCTCTAAGTTCAAAATAGTATTAAGTGTGAAAAATGTCTATAATCTTTGTAAATTACAGAGCAGCTAGCCTGCCAGCAGACAGTCTGTATCAGTGATACATAAGGCCATTGGAGTTCTAGTGTCTCATTCAGCACTGCTATTCTGCACATAAGCATATTTGTGTTTAAACACATAAATATCTAGAAACACCATCAAAATCCCTGAAGTGAATTTGCAGTCTTTTCCCCCTTGTAGAACACAGTTGCTGATTTCACCAGTTTGATACAGGTTTCGTTCACGAAGCCTAGCCATGATGACAAGAATATTTCAGGACTTCCTTCTAATTTGGTTAGCTATTTTTTAATGGGGAAAAGCTTGTAAACACCTATGACTTATGCTAATATTTAATTGCATTCCAAGTAAATAACTTTTGAAAAACGGGACCTGTTCTGAGAAACTGACTTATATGTCATACTTATAAAACACTGTTACCACTTCATGGAAGCTGAGGTCACAAGCTATTTTAGATAAGAAGGCAAAAACAAATTTTAAAAGTGGTTGTACCTTAAACTTAACTTCTTCAGTTTATCTCAATTCCCCACCATCCTTTTTAGGCAAATGTTTAAATTCATTACTTCAGTAGCTTTTGAGTAGCTTTGACTGACTTAGAGAATCACCATATATGTAGCTGTTACTGAGTAACAGAGTGGTGGTAGTATATATGAAAGGAGGAAAAGTGGAAGAGAAAGATATCCTGAGTATGTACTACCAGATCTATTCTGTTCTGCTGTCTCTGAGCATGTAGAAAATAATGTTACAAAAAATGTTTTAAGTGGTATTTCGTAATGGAAGTGTCTTGAATATTAAGTCCAAATCTTGAAGTCATTGCGTAGTTGCTTAACTAATGACAGACCATTAACAGTTGACAGTGTGACCCCATGGCCACTAGTTTATTTCAGCCGAAGCAGAAGAAACAAAAGCAAAAAAACCTTATTTTCCAAAACTTGTTTTTTCCTGATAGTAACGAATAATGCAGCAGGTTCGTATTTAAGGACATACATATTTGTATTCTTTCCTCTCCTCCCCACGCCTTTTTTTTTTTTTTTTTTTTGTAACGAATCCATCTTTTCAGAACAAATGTTGATGTTCTTCTGACATCCACAAGATGGCATGCTTGGAATTCTTTTTCAGCGTCTATAGGTTTGGGCAAAAGGTTTACAACCTCTGTCGCCAAGAAGACCTTGAAAAATACTAAGTCGAGGAACTATTTATTTAAGAACTACATGGTTAATTAATTTCACAGAAGTCTAAACGACGATTTCTCTCTCATTCTGTCAAATAGTTGAAACATTTTTAATTTTTATCAGTTTTCATTATGGGTAGCTGTGATCCAGCTACATTAGCCCCCCTTGATACTACGTCCTTGTTTTTCTTTTGTTATTAATTATATCTAGTTCATATTGGAGAGGGGGGATCTTGAATGAGTAGAATTTAGATAACTAAAATTTAGAGTACTTAATTCTGCTAAAATTTAGTAGAGTTAGTAGACATGTTTCCTCCAAAAGCGTCATCAAATTTTAGTGATGAGCATGTCTGCTGGCATTGTCAGTCAACAGAAGAACAGTTTGATAGTTCCTACTTGCAGTGAGAAAACTCGTGCTATTTCAGGCAGCTAGGGAGGAACTTCTGTTCCCTGCTTATACTACTGTACCTACAGTTATTGTTGTTAGTGGAAGGCATTTATATTTTTTTCCTAGGATGTATATACAGCCATAGAAACCAGAATAAAGAAAACAGAGCGTGTGTTATGTGTAGGGCCCATGTCAGGGTACCTGATTGAATATAAGCTTTGTGGACTCATCATACCAATATTTATTGCACTGCAGAACTTACTCTGTTCCTGTTGGTTTGCAGTAAAACGTAAGACTTGTATTGCATTTCAACCCTGTGCCAGAGTCCTGTCTCCTGCTCGTGTGCTGCAAAAACCTGCATTTTTATGCAGGGCTTAAGGTGAGAGCAGGAATATCCTGTTTCCTCCATGTGATATGGAAAACCAGCAAAACCATATCTGTTGGATACTGGAATATTCTAGCCAGACTGGAAATTCTGGTTACACTAGGCTCAGTGAAATATTCAGGAGCTGACTCAGAGAAAAAAATGCCATGTAGTAAAACTAGTAGCGTTTTATCGAACTCCTTGGAAGTTTCCATTCCCAGAGTGACAAAACTCTCATTGATTCAGGAGTTCAATTCAAGGACACTCTGGCAATCCTTAATATTAGTGTGCTGAAACCAGGTGATGAAATAAAGATATGTACTAAACAGTCATGTAAGCATGTCTAACAAATACCTGCTTTGAAAGTATTTTTTCTGTATTTTAGTCTGGAATAAGAAACCAGAGAAGTTAATTTTTTCTTCTTTTTTTTTCTTTTTTTTTTTTCTTTTTCTTTATTAAACAGTCTGAAGTTTTGTTCTAGTTAAATAGACCTATTTAAAGAGACCTATTTCTCCGAGGAGAAATACCTGAACTTTAATGTAATGGCTACCAAGACTGCATTAGATTACAGTGAAGCAACAGGTATGATTAATGTCTGCATAATAAGGCGTAGGTGATATTATCTACTGAACATCTTCTGGTAATGACCAATCATTCTAGCAACTACCATTTGTATGGTACTAAACTATGTATGAGAGACAAAACTGGTTTGTTTACTACTGGTTCAGTTCAGATATTGCAGAAATATAACATAAAGGCATAAAGCTTCATGCTTTTTGAAAGTTTATATCCATGTGTTCGAAAATTCCTTCAGTCTTTGAATCACTATTTCTCTCTCTACTGCCTTTTCTCCACACCAAACCTTCAACTAGCTTCTTAAAAATGCGTAGCATTGCTTTCAACTAGCTTCCCCTTTTCTCTGCACAGCCGTTGTATTGTGCCATGTGGACCTGCTTCATGTTTAGTGCTCAAAATTCTCGAAATTTTAATCCTGCTGAAGAACCCAAGCTTTACTTTTTTTTTTTTTAACAAGTCTTTAAATGCATTTTAAATCCCTCCCTAATTTTCCATTTTCCAAAAATAGTTTTATAGGTGTCTTAGATTAAATAACTGTGACCTAACTAGCTCTAATTAAGTTGGATCATAATGATGGTCCTTTGAATGTCAGGTGTGTATCACACGTATTTTTTTTCCAGCCACAGCTGGCCCAGATCAAAATGTTTGTAACCAGTCAATCCCATATTATAAAAGCAATTAAAACCTTTGACTTAAATTATAAGTTGCTACAAAAGGAAACATACAACATAGCCTGATTAATGGTTTGGCACAATCTTCAGGAGAATCCTACCAACAGAGGCTTTGGTAGCACAAGAAAAGTAATACAGGGCAAGGCATCTCAGGCAATTTATTACCTTGAAGATAACTAAATGAGATTCTCATATGTTTGAGAGTCTCTGTTCCAAAATACCTTGAATTTCTCAACAATCAACACAGATTTCTACCAGGAATCCCACAATGAAATGTAGAAGAACAAGACTAGGGATCTCAGTGACGTACTTTAGGAGATGTTTACTGTATTGTCATGACGTGTGCAATGCCTTGCAGGTAGAAAGATGTTAGACAACTTGGAGGTTCCTGTCAAGCTATTTCTGAACAGTATTCCTGCAGAAATAAGTGTTTTCAGCTCATTAAATTGAAGAAATATCAGAAATAACTTCATTTCAGATTTTGGTGAGTATGCATAGTTTCTGTTTCTGGTAAGTTGGAAAGCAAACAAAAATTATATACCAAAATATTTTCTGACCTAGAACTTAATACTACCGGGCTCTTAATTTCTGCTCTTCATTGGGAAGAATAGAAGGCAGAGATGCTAAAGGCTTACAGAAAAGGTAAGAAATCTGTCAAAAGGAAGAGCCTCTTAGATGTGCATAAGCTTAAATGGGAATGAGTACAGAGATAAAAGGAGCAGATATTTGATGTTTATCAAACTTCATGAGTTTGGGAAGACTTTACAAGAGAAAGTAAACCAGTTTGTCAAAACAGTTGTCTTTACTGCAAGATGACAGGAAGAATAAAAAATTGAACCAGTGACCACTGAATTAATTCATGGAAATGCTGTGAATAACAGTACCCTCTCAAAACCACAAGAGATGTATTGCCCCAGTGGGGGCAATAAATCTGCTTTTTTATGTCCAGAAATAACCTGGATAGGCCTTCACCTTATTCTCTTTGCAGAAAGCTGAAAAGGTTTTATTAGTGTTCAACCTACATAGGACAAAGCTTTTTTACACATACAGTAACATCAGAAAGAGTAGAAGATGAAAGTTATTGTCCTAGTGACTGACATTGAAGAGAAGAGGCAATGAAGGAAATAGCTGTAATGTTTTTCCCTACATGCTGATTACCAGTTTTTAAGATAATTTTCTTTTTCCTTCCTTGAGCTTGCTTTTCCAACATTGATCACACAGTAAGCAATGGCTGAGCAAATAAGAAAGATTCTGCTGAAAATATCTCATTGCTAAAAGGAACCTGTAGTTTATAATATTCCTGCTGTCACCAATATATGATGCTGGTTCC